TGTGGGGAAAAAAATGAAGAAAAGAGAAAGAAAGAAAGAAAAAAGAAAGAAAGAGAGAAGGAAAGGAATAGCCTAAAAACAGAGAGAGGGAAAGAAGCCATTTTGGAATGATAAAAAGAAAAAGAAAACAAAAAAGAAAGAAAGAAAGAAAGATCGTTGAAAAATCCGGAGAAAATGAAAGAAGGAATTGTTCGAAAAAAGATGACAACAAAAAAGAAAGAAAGAAAGAGAGAATGAAAGAAAGGAAGAAAGAAAAAGAGAAATAAAGAATGAAAGAAAGAGACTAAAAACAGTGAGTGCGAACGAAGGAATTTTGGAATGATAAAAAAGAAAAAAGAGAAAAAGAAAGAAAGAAATGGTTAAAACAAAAACCAGAGTGAAAAATGGAATTATGGAACGATGAAAAGAAAAATAAGCCGACTGAAGAGAAAGAAAGAAAAAAGCGTAAAAGAAAGAAAGAAAAAAACAAAGACAGCGAAAAAAGAATTTGTGTAAACCAGAAGAAGAGAAAGAAAGAAAGAAAGAAAGAAAGAGAGAAAGAAAGGATTTGTGTAACGATAAAAAAGAAATCAGGTAACAAAAGTCAAAGAAAGAAAGAAAAAAGAAAGAAAGCATGAAAAGAAAGAGCGTAAAAACATGGAGAGAGTGAAAGAGGGAATTGTGGGGAAAAAGATTAAAGAAAAGAGAAAGAAAGTATAAATAAATAAATAAAGAAAGAAAAAAAGAAAGAAAGAAAAAAGAAAGAAAAAAGTGGGTAAAACAAAAAAAACAGAATGAAAAAAGAATTGTGGAACGATGAAAAGAAAAAGATGGCAACAGATGAAAAAGAAGAAAAAAAAACAGAAAGCGTAAAAGAAAGAAAGAAAAAAACTGAGTATAAAAAAAAAGTATTTGTGGAACTAGAAAAAGAAAAAAGAAGTTAAGAAAAGTGAAATAAAGAAATAAAGAAAGGGCTTAAAAGAAAAAAAAAACGAGAGAGTGAAAAAAAAACTGTGGAAAAATGGCAACAAAAGAGCAAGAATAAAAGTGTAAAAAAAAAAAACGAAAAAAAAACAACAAAAACAGATAGGGTGAAAAAAAAGGAATTGTGGAAAAAAGATGAAAAGGATATCAGAAGATAAAGAAAGAAAGAAAGAAAGAAAAAGAAAGAAAGCAAAAAAGGATTTGTTTCAACGATAATAAAAGAAAAAGATAACAATGGTGAAAGAAGAAAAAGAAAGAAGAAAAGACAGAAAGAAAGAAAGAAAAAACAAAGAAAGAAAGAAAGAAAAAAGAAAGAAAGAAAGAAAGAAAGAAAAAATAAAAAAAAAAGAAAGAAATAAAAAAGAAAGAAAGAAAGAAAAAATAAAAAAAGAAAGAAAGAAATAAAAAAAGAAAGAAAGAAAGAAAAAAAGAAAGAAAGAAAGAAAGAAAGAAAGAAAAAAGAAGAAAAAGAAAGAAAGGGTAAAGAAAAATGAGGCTAGGATAGTCGTAATTCTAATTCATTTAACCTATCGTAAAGGAAGTGGTGTTTAGGAAAGACCCACTCACTCATGTCCCGATTCATTCGTTCACCAATCATCGAACGTGAGAGAATATCGACCTATTGTTGTCCCGAGTCCAACTCAGTAAAAAGCAATCGGACATTTTACAAGACGGGGGTCAGGGGTAACGGGTTACGTCTTTCGGCGCAAATCTACGACACCCGGGCGAGAAGCCAAATATTTCTTGACTTTTTCACAGTAAAAGATAATTATTCTTTACAATTTACACCAACTTGGATATATTTTTTGGAAGAGGTCGACTCTACTCTTTCCGTCCACGCTGGTCCATTTCATTTATTTATATATATATATATATATATATATATATATATATATATATATATATATATATATATATTTATTTGGCTAATTAATTTATGGCTAATTATTCATTTCTATCTATCTATCTATCTATCTATCTATCTATCCTTCTTTCTTGGCCAATTATTTTCTATCTATCTATCTATCTATCTATCTATCTATCCTTCTTTCTTGGCCAAATATTTTCTATCTATCTATCTATCTATGCATCTTTCTTGGCCAATTATTTTCTATCTATCTATCTATCTATCTATCTATCTATCTATCCTTCTTTCTTGGCCAATTATTTTCTATCTATCTATCTATCTATCTATCTATCTATCTATCTATCTATCTTTCTTGGCCAATTATTTTCTATCTATCTATCTATCTATCTATCTATCTATCTATCTAATTATTTTCTCTATCTATCTATCTATCTATCTATCTATCCTTCTTTTCTTGGCCAAATATTTTCTATCTATCTATATATCTATCCTTCTTTCTCTATCTATTTTCTATCTATCTATCTATCTATCTATCTATCTATCTATCTATCTATCTATTTCTATCTATATCTATCCTAAATATTTTCTATCTATCTATCTATCTATCTATCCTTCTTTCTTGGCCAAATATTTTCTATCATTCATCTATCTATCTATCTATCTATCTATCTATCTATCTATCTATCTATCCTTCTTTTCTTAAAATTATTTTCTATCTATCTATCTATCTATCTATCTATCTATCTATCTATCTATCTATCTATCTATCCTTTTTCTTGGCCAAATATTTTCTTCTATCTATCTATCTATTTATCTATCTATCTTTATCTATCTATCTATCATCTATCTATCCTTCTTTCTTGGCCAAATATTTTCTATCTATCTATCTATCTATCTATCCTTCTTTCTTGGAAGTCCATTTTCTATCTATCTATCTATCTATCTATCTATCTATCTATCTATCTATCCTTCTTTCTTGGCCAATTATTTTCTATCTATCTATCTATCTATCTATCTATCTATCTATCTATCTATCTATCTATCTATCTATCCTTCTTTCTTGGCCAATTATTTTCTATCTATCTATCTATCTATCTATCTATCTATCTATCTATCATCTATCTCTATCTATCTATCTATCCTAATGACCCTATCCTCTTCATTGCTAGCTATGTACCTTAATTTGGCGGTAGTCTGTTTAAATTAATCACATACATCCATAGCGACAAGAACTATATCTCAATAAACGAAAAAAATGAAAGAAATATCTGAAAAGTTTCCTAATATACATAGAGATGTTCACACACACGTAAACACACCCACCCATACACATACACAGACACAGACACACAGAGAGACAGGAATTTCTTGTTGCCGGTCGTTTTTATATCGATATAGCTATACCTGTAATTCTGTTTGCTTTGATGCTACGTTCGATGTACAGGAAATAAAAAATAATGTGAGATGAATGTAAAATCTTTTTTATGATTTCGAAACTTTCGTAATTCTGTGCAAGCCGTGAACTTTCTCTTACGTATATGCGGGTGTTCATGTGTTTGGAATCTCTGCACGTAAACACTGACAGACATATGAGGTCTGAATGAAAAAATCTTGGGACTGGTGCCATAAAAAGAAAACTACAGTACACACCAATTCTGCATTCAATCTCCTTCGAAGTAGTTCGCTTCTGAAGCAACATACTTTATCTAGCGTCGTTTCCATCGATGTAACTATTAATGGAAATACTTTTTTTATTACTGTTAATTTAACTTATTGCTGTCGCTTTGCCTTATTACTATTGTTTTGCCTTATTACTGTTAATTTGCCTTATTGCTGTTACTTTGTTTTATTACTGTTGTTTTTCCGTATTACTGTTAATTTACCTTATTGCTTTGCCTTGATACTGTTGGTTTGCCTTATTACTGATAATTAATTTGCCTTATTGCTGTTGCTTTGCCTTATTATTGTTAATTTAATTTATTGCTTTGCTTTGCTACTTTGCCTTATTACTGTTAATTTGCTTTATTGTTTTGCCTTATTACTGTTGCTTTGCCTTATTACTGTTAATTTGCCTTATTGCTGTTGTTTTGCCTTATTCCTACTAATTTACCTTATTGCTTTTCCTTATTACTCTTAATTTGCCTTATTGCTGTTAATTTGCCTTATTGCTGTTGTTTTGCGTTATTACTGCGAATTTACCTTATTGCTTTGCCTTATTACTGTTGCTTTGCCTTATTACTGTTAATTTAACTTATTGTTTTGCGTTATTACTGTTAATTTAACTTATTGTTTTGCGTTATTACTGTTGTTTTATCTTATTACTGTGACTTTGCCTTATTACAGTTAATTTGCCTTGCATATATTGTTTGTTTGCTTGTTGTAAATTATTTTTTGGGAGTGGGTAGCAAGTAACTGCCTTGTCGCATGTTCTTGGATTGCGCCAAAGTCTTAAAATTTTGTTACTTTCAAGTGGGATTTGATTTTTGAAGAAGAAAAAAGTCTTAATGGACAAGATATGCAATATAGTGTGGTTGTCAGACGTTGGGAATGTTGTCCTTTGCTTAAAACTGCTGCACCAGACATGGTAACTGATGGAAACTCTGTGGTGCAGTGAGACCATCACACTCTACACACTTTCCTTCCAAACGACGGAAGTCGGCAAGAACGTTATAAGTCAGTGTGTATGCGTGGAATGTTTCTCGGAGTGACTCCCTTACCAAAATCTGATCATAAGATCGAACTACAGGTACTTTTTTTTTGGAAGGACTTGATCGGGTTAAGAATTTTACAGCACTCACTCGTTTATATATATATATATATATATATATATATATATATATACTCAGGTGGTTCTCAACTTATTTTCCTTACAATAACCCCTTTTCAGATTATTATACTAGCTGATGTCCTCTATATAAAACTTGCCCTGGTAATATAACGTTTTTGCCTTGTTGCAGTAAAGTAAGATGTAATGGAGAAATCCAAGTTCGAAATTTGGAAAGAAGGAAAAAAAATTAATATTTTATACTCTAAAAATCAGGTAAGTATTAGATTTTATTTAACTTTGGGAAAATTATTTGATAGCAAATAAAATTCTTTTTTAAAGCCTTTTTTTTTCTAAATTATTTGTTTTTTAAGCCTTATCGACCTTTTGCAGGTTATTTAAAGCCAGAAATTACATTAGGTTGTAAGAATATTTGGGATATGATAATGATTTACCGACTAATTAACCCATAGCTGGGAGGGAGAAGAGGTGGATTCATACCTTTCCCAAATGTGTTTGCGCGTAAGTGAATGTAGCGAAGCCGACGGTAATTGGATTTCAGCACTCCGATTTCCATTTCAGAGCCATTATCCATTACACCACCCGCACATCCAAGTTTAGAGCAGCTGGTTGTCCCAAGAGGTCCCCCATCTTCGTACTGACCAGGCTCGAGGTTGTGATCGTACGGAAACCGGTGTTTCAACGTGAAGTATTTTAATTTTACAGAAATAATATATTTCTCCCACTGAATTAAAATGTACCTATGCACCGGCAGTTTGCATGAAATTGAGATGGGCATTGTGTGTCGCGTGGTTGAGTTTCCAATTCTGTCAGGTAACAACCCATGGGTAACAGGAAAATAGTGTAGGTGAGCACTTTGAAAGTATTTGTATGATCCCTTCTGCAGTTAAACTGAATATATTTAGAAGCAATATAGTATTTTAAATGGTCAAACCATTCAGGTTTCAAATTTGACTTGGTTGCAAGGTTTTGTTCCATACACATATGCCAATTGCATCTAAATGCTAAAGATACGTTTAAAATTATAAATATTCGTATAGGTTAAAAAGATAAACAAATTATATAATGCGTTTGAGTTTTGTTCAAATTAGGGTTATAATGGTTCAATTGATCCACGGCTCTGAGAGTTATACAGGGTCAAGGTAGGTTGCGCCTATGCTATTGAATGGCTGATCATTTTGAATGGTTTTCTTTTTTGAAAATCCGATATTGTTTGATCTTAATATGAACGTTCGTTATTATTATTATTATTATTATTATTATTATTATTATTATTATTTTTCTTTGATATTTGGCGTTTACACATTTCTTTCCAGGTCCCGCCCAGGGACCTAAGGTTAGAAATGGCATCATGACACTTTCCACTGACAAAAAAAAAAAATTACATAGATAAATCCCTTCGTAAAGTGTGGCTGTACTTATCAGAACAATTTTTTGTATTTCTTTGAGGCATGGACTTCCAGGAATCCCTTCAATTAGTTTACTGGAATCTTTTCCAACCAGTCCTAGGGCTCCAACTACAACAGGGATTGTTGATGTTCCCATGTGACACATTTTCAAGATTTCTATTTCAAGGTCCTTGTATTTTGTTAGCTTTTTGAATATCTTCAAAGATACCTTGCAGGCAGCAGGGACTGCCATATCAATGAGAAGGCACTTTTTTTGTTTGTGGTCTTTAATAACAACTAGCAGTAGAGCCCGGCGTTGCCTGAGGATGTAACAGTAAGAGATAGATCAAGTATCGACCATCATAAAGACTGAAAAAATAAAATTGACAAAGATTATTGTTTAAGGTTGACCGACACACATGTCTTAATTAGTTTTTTTTACGAATTGGTCAAACCCAAACTCAAACAAAAAACATTGTTTTCAATCGTTATGAGTCTACCGATTAAATAGAATTTGATAAACAGTTGTCTTGCAAATGGAATTTTTAAAGCATTCTGAATGTAAAAATAAAGAAAAAAATTTGCAAGAGAATAAGAAACACTACCTGCCAAAAAAAAGTGAAGTTTTGTTGAAATCGGTTGAAAAATGTAGGAAATCCGATCCCATATATAAACGAACACCCACACCCACAAACAACCTGGGTTTTATAATAAGTATAACTCGATATGTGTTGTCCCCCTTTCATTCTCGAGATGCCTCTTTTCAAATTGTTTTTCCAGTTTTTGGCGCTGTCAGAACCACCGCAAGGTAATTTTACGTAGCCCTGTGAAGTTTTGTTGAAATCGATTGAAAAAAGTAGGAAATCCGATCCAATATATAAACGAACACACACACACACACGCACACACACACACACACAAAATCTGCGTTTTATAATAAGTATGATGTCTGGGCGGTTGGCTTTGATTGTTCTGTCAGTGTGTATTGTATAGTCCCATAGAATTGTAACAGGTCCTATATCATTATAATAATGATAATAATTATTATTATTTTAATATTATTTTATTATAAAACAATAATAATAATTATTTTATTATTATTATTATTTTATTTTCTTTGATTTCTGGCGTTTACACATTTCTTTCCGGGTCCCGCCCAGGGACCTAAGGTTAGAAATGGCGTCATGACACTTTCCACTGACAAAAAAAAAAAAATAAAAAAATAAAATGATAGATAAAGCCCTTCGTAAAGGTGTGGGCTGTACTTGTCAGAACAATTTTTTGTATCTCCTTGAGGCATGGACTTCCAGGAATCCCTTCAATTAGTCTACTGCAATCTTTTCCAACCAGTCCTAGGGCTCCAACTACAAACAGGGATTGTTGATGTTCCCATATGCCACATTTTCGAGATTTCTATTTCAAGGTCCTTGTATTTTGACAACTTTTTGAATATCTTCAAAGATACATTGCAGTCAGCAGGGACTGCCATATCAATAAGGAGGCACCGTTTTTGTTTGTGGTCTTTAATAACAATATCTGGCCGGTTGGCCTTGATTGTTCTGTCAGTGTGTATTGTGTAATCCCATAGAATTGTAACAGGTCCTATCTCCGTAACCGGGTCTGGGTGGTGTTCATACCAGTTTCTTTCAGTTTTCTTCCCGTAGAAGTTGCAGATTTTCCAGTGCAGATATTGGCCCACCTCTGTCATGTCGGGTTTTATATTCAGTGGGTGCCAACACCGTACAACCTGATACAAGATGATCAATCGTTTCTGGATATTTATCACAGAATCTGCATTTTGGGCTGACATAATATTTTTAGTATATGTGCTTGATAATTCCTAGTTAGCAAGCATTGGTCCTGCGCAGCAAGGATAAAACCTTCAGTTTCCGCTTTCAACCCTGCACTACGTAGCCACTGATGGGTACGGGTTTTGTCTACGTCAGCTTGTTTGGTACGGGCAGAGTATTGGCCATGAAGCGGTTTATTTTGCCATCGCTTCTGTAACTGGTCGGTTGCATTCGTCTTAGCTATCTTTTTTAGGTATTTTGCAGTTTCAGCCGGTGTCTTGTGCTGTAGTTGCATCTCTATGCCCATTTGGAACTCCATTATAATTATTATTATTGTTATTATTATTATTATTATTATTATCATCATTTTACTATTATTTTATTGTAATATTAATTATTATTATTTTAGGTAGCAAAGAAGAATATTTAACTGTTATATTAATCAGAAATAATCCATTTAAAAATTGCTGTGCTTACGTTATGTTAATAGTCAAAATGAATGGAATTATTATAATAGGCAAATATAATGCGAGATTCTGGTTGGCAAATATCATCCACAGCATCTCCTGCTAATGTTTGGAAGGTTTGTTTTTTCCCGAAGACCGAGTTGAAGAGAGAATGAATTCTCTTAAATGCCCCAGAATTCGAAATTTTCCCGTCATTGGTTGAACAGCACGACGTGGGCTCCAGCTGCGAACCTCACCCAGAAGGGTCTTCCGGTGCTTTGTCACCAGATCATTTAAGGCAATCTAAACAAGTCTAGACATCGTAGGTTCGTTTTTTTTATTTATTTTGGTGTGTGTGTGTGTGGGGGGGGCGTGTTGGGCGTGGCAAAAGTAAATAAGTTCAGGGGTTGTAAGAGAAATAAACAAATGAAAGAAATTAAAAAAAATAAAAGCAAACGAACAAAAAAAATACAATAAATAAACGTAAAAATGAATTAAAAACCCACTGAGAATAGCTTGGAAAACAAGCGAAGAAAATGTCGAATAAAAAAAAAACAAATTTAAAAGCAGAGAAAACGAAAAAAAAAAAAAACTCCCAAAAAAAAATCAATAAAAGAGGCAAAGTGTTCACGTGAACAAAATTTAACAAAATTCTAAACCATCATGTTTTTTTTTGTTTTGTACGAAGTTTATTTTAGCGTTTCATCTTTTACATCGTCCAACAACATTTAATCTATTTTAGGGTATAGTTTTCAATCGTACAATTCGATTTCCTATTTTTTTTTCTTACCCTAAACTATATTCCTCTTCTTCCTGAACGGTTCTAATACCGATGTACCTTTCTGTTGAAAAGAAAAGAAATTTAAAAAAAAAAGAAAGGGAATCTATAAAAATAAATAAAGATTAAAAGAGAAAAGGTAATAAACATTGTTTTGAGAAAATGTCTAAAAAAAACCACTCTAAATATATTCATCGAGTCTAGAAGATTCCTCCGAAGAATAACACCGTACGGCCGTTTCGTCCAATTTGGAACACATCAGCAGTGCACATACACTAACGAGGATCGAAACTGGACCGTTTCGCTACGACGCAAACGTCTTACCAATGAACCACGGTGAAGGAAGAAGAGACTGAATAGACTCGATATAGCGCCGTTAGTCACAAATTCCGTGGTGATACTCATCCAAGTATTCATAACCCAACGGGTTGTACCCCAAGAGAAACGTCTTTCCTTTTACCTTAGTCGATCCACCGCAGAGAATTAGCTGGGTCAAGCAAGGATATACAAGTGATAGAATTTTGAGGAATTAGAATAATCATTAGAAGTAATTCGCATACCTCGGCTCAGTCATATGCCCTCCCATTGGGTTGTCAAAATTGCCGCTGTCTCCTTTTTTTAATCCATAATACATCGTTATGGTATAATAAAGATTTGCGGCAATGCCTAATGAGGTTGATTTTATCATTGGATATTGAAATGTACTTAGCCAACACTAAAGCTTCATTAACTGTTTTTTCCATAATAGATGGGTAAGATTCTTTTATGTCATATTTCGCAAAAGAACATTTGCTGTTTTTGTCATAATTATTAAACCATTCTATAGAATCACGAGTCGAGCGCCATTGGCTAATGTTTAAAACTGCTCTCAGTGTATCACGTGCGATATTATTTTGCTGATTTTACACATTTGTGTTTTAGTTGGGTTGATTAACCGACGTTCGTGGTTATTCTAGAAATCATTTTTGAGGCCTTTTATATGTTACAAAACAATTTCTAATATTAATTTTCTCTATTTTATAAACGAGATTATATTTATAGTTAGAATATTAGCTTCCTTATTGAGTTCAATTTCTAGTTTTTTTTTTTTTAAGCATTACGCCCCGAGCAAGGCGTGAAGCCACTAGGATGCAGGGGGTTGCGGAAGATTTGGAGCGAGAGCAGATAGGAGTGATAGAAGAAAGGATGAGGAGAAGGATAGTGGGTAGATCAAGGCAACTGGAGATGTCGATTGACATTACATTTGAATAGTTGAAGATTATAGCTCTCAGGGAAACAGTAATAGGCAAGGGTGTTCCACAGGCGAGAGGTGCGAGATATGAAGCTATTGGAGTAGAAGAGACAGCTACATTTAAAAATTTCTTTAAAAGTGAAAGGGTGAGAGCGGTATGCCAGCCTCGTAGGGCGCTTGAATTCATGGAGTCTGGGAACCAGTGAAAGCAGCTCATCGGACCAATTACCATGAAAGTATTTGTAAAAAAAAAAGACAGAGAGAGGCGACGGCGCGTCTGTGAGAGAGAGTGACTGTAGACGAGATGCCAGATCAGGGCCAGATATTGCATATCCGTCTCTGGATCTTGTCAAGAACTCCGAGGTAAACAGAAGGTGCCCCAGACCATATATGGCAGCAATACTCCATGCAAGGGCGAATGGTTGATTTGTATATTTGAAGTATCGATTCCGGGGAGAAAAATTTCCTGGCGCGGCACAGGGAGCCAAATTTCCTTGCGGTGGACGAAGCAATTGACTCAATGTATTTGTTCCATCTCAGGTCAGCAGTCAACGTGAGACCGAGTAGATGCAGGGAGTTGCTCTCAAGAAGTTGACTATCAGACATTCTAATGTGGGGGCAGGGAAGGATCTCTATGGTGATTAATAGAGAGTAGTTTAGTTTTTAAGGCGTTAAAGTTAGCAGGGTCCTTCTTACAGTGTTTAGTTACTTCCTTATAGTAGCATATTATTATATTTGCTGGGGCTTATCTTATATAGAAAGCTAGATTTATCTACCTTAACAAATACTTTTTGCTATTCTTAATCTCTTTGAAGTCCCCATTAATTTGTTGTTGTATGGTGTTACTAAAGTTACTATATTTTATCGTTTTAGCTAAGCCGATCAAGTCAGATTCGAAGTTGTCTAACTCCTTAATATGGGGTGGGTGTGCATTGGTTTTAAATCCATAAGTCTCGGTGATTTTTTTTGTGACTATTCTGGTCATTATTAAAGAAGAAGTGGGCTTTCCATTTCATGCTAGAGATGAAGGATTCAATCTTTTTCAGTAACGTTAATTCATATAAATGCCTATCGGGTAAAGGGATATTTTTTAAAAGAATAACCAATATCTACTTGCTCCATGACGGTTGACTTAAAAAAAAAGTCCTCGATAGGGTGACCTAGAGCTAAAATTATATTAATAGTAATACTCGATTGGAAGAAAAAAAAACTCTCGGATAGAACAACTTGTAGATATGCCAAAACAAATGTAGGCGAGAAAAAGAGTACCATGACGCAATTCACTCCGCCAGAAATTTGGAAACGGCATGTTGTACAGCTTGGCATTCGCGCCGGAAGCTCCAATACGAATATTTCACCGTATTTGGGTGTCAATCTGAGGACAGTGCGGAGGATTCGGAAAGAGTTGGATGAGTCTAATGGTGATTGCGAAGGAGCGGCAGCTCGTAAAAGTCAAATTGATAGTTCTTATAAGTGAAGAACTCCCGAATTTGTTGGTGAGGGCCTCAGATTCAACACGGAGGCCTACACGAAGTTCCTTGAAGTGAAAGTGCTGCCCTGGGTCAAGAGTGTGGCTGCTGGAAGACGCTATGTCTAACAATAGGATTCTGCACCATGCCATACAAGCAGTAGAACCCAGTCATGGCTGTCAGAAATTCTGCGACAACATTACCGCTTATAACTGGCCACCTAACTCTCTAGTATCTATCTATGTTTCTTTATATTATAGTATCTATCTATCTATCTATCTATCTATCTATCTATCTATCTATCTATCTATGTTTCTTTATATACGTCTACTTATCTCAATCTATCTATCTATCTATGTTTCTTTATATCCGTCTACTTATCTCAATCTATCTATCTATGTTTCTTTATATCCGTCTACTTATCTCTATCTATCTATCTATCTATGTTTCTTTATATCTATCTATCTATCTGTCTACTTATCTCAATCTATCTATCTATCTATGTTTTCTTTATATCTATCTATCTATCTATTTATGTTTCTTTATATCCGTCTACTTATCTCAATCTATCTATCTATCTATCTATCTATCTATCTATGTTTCTTTATATCCGTCTACTTATCTCAATCTATCTAATCTATCTATCTATCATTCATCTATCTTTCTTTATATCCGTCTATCTATCAATCCGTCTATTATCTATCAATTTTGTCTATCTATTCTATCCGTATCTTATCTCAATCTGTTTATCTATCTATCAATCTATTTCAATTTATCTTTAAATCTATCTCTCTCTATCTATATATATATATATATATATATATATATATATATAGTATGTGTGTGTAAAAGTAACAATATGGGAATTCGATGCAGATGCCGCCTCTATATGCATATAGCATTCCTAAGTGCTTATTATTGCTTCGTTATATATTTTATCTTTTCTAATGTCTACATTTCAAATTTGGTCAGGTATACCGACCTCATGTTGGCAATAAAACATCGTCACACAATTTACAAACGAAACACATTTGTTATTCAACAATATCTGGAGTTCTTCCACTCACAGGTTTTCATATTTCTCCAGCACGTCTCGATACTTTTATCATAAATACATCTTTGTGCCATTCTTAATGTACCATTTGCCTTACTTATTGACAACACGGGTTACACACACACACACACACACACACATATATATATATAATTGTGCATTTTGGGAGCAATCCCTCATTTATACATGTTTCTTTATTAAAGACGACAGACAAGGAACTTCAATTAAGCTTTTTATTTAATTTTTCTTCTGTTCGAACGAGTATTTATTTGTTGACACAGAGTGTATAGAAACCGTTCAAATGTTCGGTAATTCCGAGCGCTTTCGGCTATACGTTTAGCCATTATCAAAGATAGCTTTAGTTTTACTTTTTAATTGGATGTATGGTTGTTATTTTTATATGCATCGAGAGTTATAGAGATCGTTTTATTTTCCGAAAATATTTGTTTAATATAAACAGAGCATTTACTTGAATAATTGCCTCTATGAAAATAACGTGTGCACAAAAAGAAAAAAAAAATGAAAAGAATTGTCGCATTTAGTCCGTTTAATTATATATGTTGTCACCTGTTCACGTAAAGATACGCTTCGAGCAGATATGATAGTTCGAGAAAGATTAGACAGACTAATCACAAAAGTACACGAATAACAAATGTAACCTAGTCTACATGGCAACACATCACCATCTACCGTAACGTTTCTTGAAAATTAACTAAAAAATGGAGGATTTGCGGACATATGTTTATATGGATTGTTGTCCTTCTTTTGGCCTGAGGAATCCGCCACTAAAGTGTGTAAACGTATTTTTTATACACTCTGTATATGTTAAAGCCTTCCTATCCTCTCACTAAAATTTTGTTTTTTATACCCGGAGTTATATTTTCCGATTTCTTTTTGAATTTGTAGGTCTGATGAATTGGATCGTGATTAAAATTCTAATGTAATAAATTATAACCGTGGAATATTAGTGTTTGAGCTTTTTTTTTATCATATTATTACTCTGTCCTGACAGAGTAATAATAGTTTTTCTAGTACTACCAATATAGAGATTCTATTCTCTTGAAATTTATATATATATATATATATATATATATATATATATATATATATATATATTATAAATTTTTTTAAAATATGGTTTTCCGCTACATATTTCTAACCATGTTTCAAAATGGAAGGTCCGAATTTAATTTTGTAATTAAATTAAAGATATTAGTTCCATTCCATCTTCAAGCGAATTTTGGAGTAACTTTTAACCCCCCACCCACAAAATCTTTAAATATACAAATAGAAAAAATGCCGTAAGAATTTTTGCCGTTAACAATGACATTTTTAAAAAATCCAGACGACATGCATTTAACGGCTGTCAGATTCCATTGAAGAATACATCCCTACCCCCTACCAAAACGTAACTAATAACGGATACATCAAAATACAGACATAATGAACACGCAGACACCCCTAGTCTAGTAAAAGTGGTTCTATCTGTAACCTTGGAAATGTGAATTATGATTTTAGCTGTGTCTTTAAAATCCAGTAATTTTAAAAGTTACTCAAAATTCGCTTGAGGATGAAATGGAACTAATGTCTTTAATTCAATTACAAAAATTAAATTCGTAGCTTTTTTGCTTCCATTTTTGAAACATGGTTAGAACTTGTAGCGATAAAAAATTTCATATTTTAAATCAATTGATTTATAATATTAATGCTCTGTAAACTTACATTGAGCACTATTTTGTTAAAAAATAAAAATATTATAATCTTACTGTTCAAAATGTCCATTATCTATATATCTATATATATATATATATATATCTATATATATATATACTTCCTCATATTTTCCAGATCTGCTAGAGGATGTGCTCCTGCTTATACGAAGTCGCATGTGGTACATGCATAATAGAGCTCCCGTACATTTAAGTCACATTGTTCGCGAGGTACTGACTGACATCTACCATGAAAGATGGATGGATAAGTGGGGCCGGTTCCATGACCTGCAACTTTCCCACACCCTTAATTCTTTGAGTTTTTAACTGTGGGGACACCTAAAACAAAAGAAAATGGGTTCCTGCGTGTGTAGAATCAAGCTGAGGATATTCTGAATATTTTTCTGAGTTGCTGTGTTGGGGTACAACGATGGCCTTTTGGACATACAGTCAACGACGAAATTATTCGTACACACAGTTTTGAATATTTTTATCCATTTCTTAGAATCTAATGCTCATATGATGCCAGTTTTTTTATATCTTAATAAGCACAAAAAAGGAATATAAAACCCAATTTTCAGAACAATAAGTCCAAAAAATTTGACAGGCGAAATATACAAAAGAGGAAACGCCTATATTTGCATAATTAGAAAAGTTTACCTCTAGAAAAACAGTAACCAATTAATGTAAAATGTAAAAATTACCAAGCGAATATCAATACATCCATACAAGATGTTACCAACACTAACAGGAGATTAATACAAAATTATATTAAATCCAAATTAATCTTACAAATATAAAAATAAGCCATATATCGAGCAACGCAGTACAACTCAAATATAACATAAAGCATAATCAAATTCCAAAGTTTAACTAAATGATAAGGTAATAGACAAACTATGTTTACAATTAACTGTTAATTCATTTCTTTGGTATAATAAGGACATTTTATTGAATCTGATAATTTTCAGTTTTTCATGTAAACACAGAAAACAGGATTCATATAAAGATCTACATGTCATTGCTACTTTTAAAATGTTCCATTTTACCTAAGGAGACTTATTAACATCTTTTAAAATCCAAAAATATTTAGAAAGTGATGTATTATGTCTGTAAATACTATTAGTGAAGGAAAAGATATGTTGATATCACCAAGTCTTGAAAAAATTCTTAATACTACCGATATAGAATGTCTCAACGAACGGATCCTCTAGTGTGGAGATGGCGCAAAGATAAACAAGACACTGATTAAAACATTTGTTTAGCAAAGGCATTGGTCAGAATTCCTACAATTACATTGGCTATTATCATGAATAATATTTTACTTGGAATGTGTATTATGATCCAGATTATTTTAAATTTAATATTTTATTGATGTGTAACGTTATAATCTTCTCAAAATTATTGGTGCAGCTATAACTTAGTATTAATTTGTTCTTATATCTGCCTATATTTCTGAGATGAGGTATTATGTACATTATCTATTTTATTCGGATTATAGTCCTCATCTTCGTCGCCATATTTATTACAACGTTTCCGCCGTTGTACGCTCCAGCCTTATTCATGGGGCTGGAATATCGAACTGAAACATTTATTTACCTCACAAGGGTAGTCTGTTCTAGTTCCACGCCATGTTTAGTGTCCGTCAGTTATCTGCTGTTAAATTCCCTCTGAAGGTTTCACAAATTCCCTCTGAAAGTTTTTAAATAGACCTAACAAAACGCCTGTATCCATAAATACCATGAGTTAAAAGGGTATTCCGTTAAAATAATAGAATAATGAAGAAATCTAAAGACATGGGATAAAAGCAAACGTAAGATGTATGAAACTAGTATCAAAAAAAAGGAATAATGAAGAGTCCTTAAAGCAAACTAGAAATAAAATAATAGGAATAATGAAGAATGAAGAGGCCAGAGGGATGGGATAAAAAAGCATCAATAATAAGATGGAATGAAATTAGTATTAAAATAATAGGAATAATGAAGAGTGGATCTGGCCAGAGGGTTGGGATAAAAAGCATCAATAATAAGATGGAATGAAAAAAAAAAATAATAGGAATAATGAAGAGTGGATCTGGCCAGAGGGTTGGGATAAAAAGCATCAATAATAAGATGGAATGAAAATAGTAATAAAATAATAGGAATAATGAAGAAAAAGTTCATCATCTGGCCAGAGGGTTGGGATAAAAAGCATCAAAAAATAAGATGGAATGAAACTAGTAATAAAATAAAAATAATAAGAGAATAAAAAAGATGGAATGAAAAATAAAATAATAGGAATAATAAAATTGGAGAGGGTTGGGATAAAAAAGCATCAATAATAAGATGGAATGAAACTAGTAATAAAATAATAGGAATAATGAAGAGTGGATCTGGCCAGAGGGTTGGGATAAAAAAGCATCAATAATAAGATGGAATGAAACTAGTAATAAAATAATAGGAATAATGAAGAGTGGATCTGGCCAGAGGTTGGGAAAAAAGCATCAATAATAAGATGGAATGAAACTAGTAATAAAATAATAGGAATAATGAAAATGGATCTGGAACAGAGGGTTGGGATAAAAAGCATCAATAATAAGATGGAATAAAACTAGTAATAAAATAATAGGAATAATGAAGAGTGGATTGGCCAGAGGGTGGGATAAAAAGCATCAATAATAAGATGGAATGAAACTAGTAATAAAATAATAGGAATAATGAAGGTGGATCTGGCCAGAGGGTTGGGATAAAAAGCATCAATAATAAGATGGAATGAAACTAGTAATAAAATAATAGGAATAATGAAGAGGGATCTGGCCAGAGGGTTGGGATAAAAAGCATCAAAATAATAAAGATGGAATGAAACTAGTAATAAAATAATAGGAATAATGAAGAGGGTTGGGATCTGGAATGAAAACTAGTAATAAAATAATAGGAATAATGAAGGGGATAAAAAGGGTTGGGATCAAAAGCAATAAAGATGGAATGAAAACTAGTAATAAAATAATAGGAATAATGAAGAGAGTGGATCTGATCAGAGG